ACAGAGTGTGCGTTGCACAATGTTGGTGGCACATTCGCTTCCCAGTCATTGTAGGAGTGTGTATTTATTATCACGCATTTCTGGCAAATGGCAGTGAAGCAGCTCAGGGCACCATGGTGTTCTCTGAGCCTCCAGGGATGGGGGAAGGAGGCAGTTTGGAGGGTTATCCTGTTTACTAAGGAAGTTATGAATGTGCTTCAGGCAGCATCCCATAAGAGGAAAATTGAAAACAACACATTCACGTGTGAGCACACACACACACACACACACACACACACACACACACACACACACACACACACACACACACACACACACACACACACACACACACACACACACACACACACACACACACACACACACACACACACACACACACACACACACACACACACACGCACACCATACACACCCTGATCTGGGCATGTGATGTGTACCCAAAAACTTACTAAAGCAAAACTGATTTTGGCCTAGAGAGATTTGATTTTATGCTAAACAAATTTCATCAGGATTTTCATATGAAGAGTTTATTCCTCCCCAAACGTGCCCTGCTTGGCTGCATTTAATGCGGTCAAATCCAATCTTGGAGTTCTCTGCAGGCCTGGTGACTGGGTTCTTAGGACTCAGCTCATAGCTGTCAGCTGAGCTTGGGGGTGGGGGGCAGCTGGAGTGACAGGGAGGGCTCGTGTGGGGCTGGAGGCTATGGCCCCCAGGGCAGGTGGGACCCAGAAAGCCCTGGAAACTTGGTTGATGGCACAAAGAGCACTATGTGAGCCATCTAAGAGCTTCCACTGTTGAGTTTCAGTCCATTCCTTATAGGGGTTCAGCTGTCACATGCTGTGTTCCTATGGGACCTGTCAGGGAACCCTCTCCCCTGTCTCTAAGAAGTCCGAGGGTAGGAAGGCCAGACTTAGCAAATACAAATATAGACACCTGGCTACATGTGAATTTCTGATGAACACTGAATACTTTGTTAGTGTAAATGTGTCTCAGGCCTGTGCAGATGGAGAGGTGGGCACAGCTTGGGCCTTATAGGACCCTCAGTGGGGGAAGCCATCTCCTGGGGGACTCCACTGGGCACCCTGAGGCCCGTGGTGTGCTTTCACAGTCATACTTGAGAGCCCTGCCTGGCCCGGTGCCTACAATTAGAGGATGCCCACTGCGCTGGGTTTCCTTCCCTGACATGCAGAACCCGGGGACGCCCGGGGTGACTCCGTGATGAGTATGTGGGGAAGCAGCCTTCATGTGGAAGGTGACCAGAGCTGAGACTTCCGGGGGGAGCACAGGCTACGACATTACTTTGGGGTGGGTGTGGGGCCCTCATTGTCATGGGGGGCGCTGGTCTCAGGTTATCAGGAAGTTTTCACAGAGAGGATCTCAGCTGGGTGGAAGCCGGGCATGGCTACCGTCTCGGAGCTGAGCCAGGGGAAGTTGAGTGGAATGGGGGCCCCTTGACCACAGGGGCTGGGGAGGCCCCTCACAAGCCACCTGTCCTGAGGGTGCAGGTGGGCAGCAGAGGAGGACCCTTCCATCTCCCCCCACCCTGTTGCTGTCTGTCCTGAGTTCCTCCAAACGGGGACTCTGGAGGCCCTGCTTCGCAGGAGATGGTTAGACATAGGGACTGTGGCGTCTGTTCCACACCAACGATGCAGACTCTGTGGGGCTTGGAGCCTAGAGCCGGACTTCCACTCCAGGATGTTTCTGAAGCAGCAGATCCGAAGGCGTGCACCCCTGCTCCGGCCAGAGAAACCTGTGGGCGGGTGAGCTGCCCGCAGTGGTCAGCCTGCCGTCTGTTCTTTCTGTGCCTCTCACCAGCCCAGCCACAGAGCTTCTCTGTCTCCAGGGCTCTGGCACTGGGACCGGCTCAGCAGGAAGAAACACTGGTGAGTGAGTAAGTGATAAGTTGAAAGCTTGCATCGTGTGGGGGACAGACACGCTGCTTCATCCTCCAGTATTTTATTTTATTACTAAATGAGCAGATACGATTCTATCGCACAGCAAGCCCAAGGTAGACGCCAGGATCTCATTTTACAGACGCAGACACTGAGGCTGCAGTGGGCGGGAAGTGGGGGTGCTGGGAGTGACCCTCACATCACGGTCTCTAGACGCTAGACTGTGCCCTAAGGCTTGGCGTGGCCCCTGCTCCCAGGTCCCCTCGGCCCCACTGGCCTCGGTGTGCCGGGAGGTGGTACATCCACATGGCCCTCGCTCCCAGGTGCCACAGCCCGCACCCCTGCCAGCAGCCCGGCCGCCCGCTGCTGTGGGCCTTGGTCTGAGCCTGCGCCTGCTCCCCAGCCTCGCACCGCTGCTCTGGGCTTCCCTCCAGCACTGAGAGCCCCGGGAGCCCCAGCGCCGGCTGGCCAGACTTCCGAGGCCACCAGACCTGCAGGAGTCTTCCGTCACCGAAGTCGCAGAGAACGTTTGGACTCTGTCTCAGCTGCACCTGGGCCATCCTGCCCCCTGGCCCTGTCCCAGCCCTGTCCTGGGCCAGCTATTCTCCCCACCCAGGGCTGGGGGCGTCTGTGCTCCCCTCTGGGTTTGGGTGCAGAGCAGTTTCCCTCCTCCAGGTAGTGAGAACTGGTCCTGGAGGAACACCCTGGGGCGCTGGTATAAGGCTTTAGCGCCACCAGGAAAGAGGCTGCTTCCAGCGGGTCACCGAGTCTTCCCTGACACCCACACAGGAGTGGCAGCAGTGAGCCTGTCTCCCCAGCCCGCCACAGCCTCCTCCCGGGCTTGCTCTGCCTGCAGCCCTCACGAGGCCTCCACTGGCTCCCGGGATGGCACCAACTCTTTCCCTGCAGGCTGCTGGCATGGTCCCCTGCCATGTCCTGGGCCCGGGGCACAACATGCCACAGTGCCCTCCAAATTCTTCCCACTTCCTTCACTGCAGTCGGCTTCACTCTGAGTGCTCGGACCTGCTGTCACTCGTAGCTGCTTCCACTCCCGGGACTGCCAGCTCTGAGCCACTGGCCACACGGCTCGTTCACTAGGCCACACGCCCTTACTCAACCAATGCTTGTGGTGCACACTGGGAGCTGGCCCGGGGCACGCTTGGGCAGATGCCTGTCCTGGCTGACTTTGCCATGCCCACGCACCCACTCAGCCTCCACCCCACCCTGATTGCATGTAGATGGTGCAGGAGGTAGTGTGATTGCATGTAGATGGTGCAGGAGGTAGTGTGATTGCATGTAGATGGTGCAGGAGGTAGTGTGATTGCATGTAGATGGTGCAGGAGGTAGTGTGATTGCATGTAGATGGTGCAGGAGGTAGTGTGATTGCATGTAGATGGTGCAGGAGGTAGTGTGATTGCATGTAGATGGTGCAGGAGGTAGTGTGATTGCATGTAGATGGTGCAGGAGGTAGTGTGATTGCATGTAGATGGTGCAGGAGGTAGTGTGATTGCATGTAGATGGTGCAGGAGGTAGTGTGATTGCATGTAGATGGTGCAGGAGGTAGTGTGATTGCATGTAGATGGTGCAGGAGGTAGTGTGATTGCATGTAGATGGTGCAGGAGGTAGTGTGATTGCATGTAGATGGTGCAGGAGGTAGTGTGATTGCATGTAGATGGTGCAGGAGGTAGTGTGATTGCATGTAGATGGTGCAGGAGGTAGTGTGATCCTTGGCCCTGGGGTCAGGGAAGAGCTTCTCACCCAGGGAGGGGTGCTCTGACCTGAGAAGTGCCTACTCCTCCACCTTCCCCTTTGCAGAGACCTTGAAGTTTACAGACAAATCAGTAGGTCCTAACCTTCCCTCACTGTTTTGACATAGCTGCATAGCACCTCTGCTTTGACTCATGCTCCACAGAGGCCAGAAGAACCAGAGTCTTAAGACATGAAGTCCACTTTCTCGCAATCTCAAGGCCTGGGCTTCATTGGGTGGGGACACCCATGGGGGCCTCTGCAGGGCTTGGAGAAATATGGGAGGATTAGTATCCTACATGGTTCCTAGAAGGGGGATCTCTGGAAGGGGAGGTGGGGCTAAGGAGCCTAGCCTCCCCAAATCCTTATGTACCCCACCCCTCAGCTAAATTTTATTAAAGAGGCAGGTGAACTTTCTTTCAAGGAGTTCTGAAAGCCTTGGGGTGGGGAGAAGACTACAGTGAGGGTGATGCTTTTGCTGCCCAACGACTGACCCAAGAGTGACTCAGGCACTAGAAGGACTGGAATTCCTCAGAGGGGTGCGAGCAACTTCCCCACCTGCTGCACATTTTCAAACGGAGAACGAAAGTCACGTAGTGGTCCAGATTTCCCTGGCATGAGATACAGCTCAGAATTGGCACATGGGCTGGCACAGACCTTGCTCTCCACTAAGGATGGGCCCTGGGAAGAGCCTGCCAAGTAGGGCCTTGCTGGGACCTACTGTCTGCTGTGGGCCATGGAGACAGGGCAGAAACCCAGGCGACTTCCCTGGGCCTGTGATGGGCAAGGCCCGTGTCCACGTCCTATGGCTCAGTCAGAGGCTGGGCCTTCTCAGCAGAGGCCACTCCCTCCCCACGAGCCCCTGCACCGTGGGCAAGACAAGAGCAGGGAGAGTGGCTTCCGAGGAGGGACACAGGAGGGACCGTGAGGCACTGTGGAGGTAGCCGTGCTTCCCCGCGGTTTTCTTGCCCTCCTAAGTACGAAGACACAACACTTAGTAAGGCAGTAAGTAGTATGAGAGGGAAATAGTGGTGATTTAAAACTCAAGAGCCCTTTTGCATTAGGAAAGTAGCTGCTTTAATAAAATAAAGACAATACAGTATTTTCCATCAGTTTCCAATAGGCAACCCCATTTCTTCAGTGCAATAAGCCCTTGATAAGGTGAGTCGTGTAATTTCGTGTGCGGCTTGGCGTCGGCAAGTCCAACTGTGCAGCGTGCTGCTTCCAGCCCTCTTACCCATTTTATGGAAGTCCCATGGGCCATGAAGAGCGTTTTGGGTGCAGAGCTCTGATTGCCAGAGGCCCCTTCCCTGAGAGCTATGGGGAGGGAAGGTCCGGGGGTTTCTTCTGCAAACAGAACCAGGCTCTGCATCACCTTCCCTGCCTTCTGTGGAGGCTGCAGCCCCTCAGGGACATGCAGCCATGCCAGAGCCTCCACCGTCTCTTTCTTCCTACCCATCTGCAGACCAGCAGAATATTCTCCCCTTCTCATCACCGACCAGGAGCTTGGTCTGGTTTCTTGGGAAGAGAGAGGAGAGACAAGAGCATTAGAGGCCACCTGTATGGAGCATGTATCTCAGCCAGCACTCAGGAAATTGCAGCATGGGGCTCAGTGGAACCCACACTTGGTCCTCATCGGAAGTGGGACACGTGGATAATGTTTTCACTCGGGGTGGCAGTGGGCTTTGCAGCTGTAGGGCGGTGGCTCCTAAAGCACAGAGGGAAAGCTCAGGATGCCCAGGCCCAGAGAGCAGGGTGAGGCCTTGCCTCCTCCTCTCCAGCATCTCCAGGTGAGCCTCTGTCCTGAGAGAGACAGAGCCAGGGCCTGGGCAGAACAAATGGCAAATTCTCCAGCAAAGAGTGTAGCTTTCCTTTGGTCCTCATCGGAAGTGGGACACGTGGATAATGTTTTCACTCGGGGTGGCAGTGGGCTTTGCAGCTGTAGGGCGGTGGCTCCTAAAGCACAGAGGGAAAGCTCAGGATGCCCAGGCCCAGAGAGCAGGGTGAGGCCTTGCCTCCTCCTCTCCAGCATCTCCAGGTGAGCCTGTGTCCTGAGAGAGACAGAGCCAGGGCCTGGGCAGAACAAATGGCAAATTCTCCAGCAAAGAGTGTAGCTTTCCTTTTCCCACCTCACCCCACCTCGGCTGGCATCTAGAACACTGTGCAGCACGTACCACCAGGGACACTGGAATGCCCACTCCAGGCCGGTGAGGGAGGAAGGAAGGCGGGCTGCCAAAGGTCAGCTGCCTCCCGAGACTACACTTCCTAGTGCAGAACTGGGTTAATGACAACACTTGCCTCCACTGGGTTACAATGGGGTATCAAGTGTCCTATCTGACACTTGGCAATTCCACATTGGCTTAGAGCCCTGCAAAGGCATGTTCTGTTAATCTGGGATAATCATCATATCAAAAGTTACAATTGGCAGTGGGATTCAGTAAAAAAGGCTCTCTTTAGGATAGAATTACAAAAATACTTTTACCTTTTGGATTTCTTTATGAATTCCCTATGAGCCCCTGCACTGTGGGTAAGTTCTTGGATATTTAAAACAAGACAGCAAGAGCATGCGTGTGTTAAAAAGAAAAAACCCACAAACAAAACAAAATAAAAACGGTTCCCGGGGCCCTACACAGCCTTGTCACCTGCACCCTGTGCATGGTGGGCCCCTGGGACACCTGTAGTGAGGTGGCCTCCCTGACCAGGCAGCATGAACCCAGAGCTGCTGGGACTTTCCTAGGGTTGGCCTCAGCGCCCTCTGCTGGAGGCCTTGAGGAACCAGGCTGTGCTCACCTGGACACAGCCAGTGCTGTCACTGCTGGGCTGGTCTTACTGGGCTTCCCTGTCAAAGCAATGCTGACGTCCAGCTCTCGACTCAGGGCAAGGTTCTTCTCCCACTTGTGACCTGTGGGGAGTGTGCGAGAGAATAGTTAGAACACCCGAGTGACTTCACACACGTGTGCAGGTGCATCCACACCCAGCACCACAAACACATACGCACACATTTATATTTGTGGTCAGCAACTTGTTAAATTGAGGGGGGAAATATATTTAATCTTGGCCTGTGCTGTTGCAAAAAGGGCCATCCCAATTTAATTTGCAGGCTGTGATAGTTACATGTGCTGACATGCCGCAGTATCCATTGTGTACCAAATTGGATTTGTGTATTATTGCTTTCTAAATTGCATGCCTAGTTCAGCAAAATTATTCATCAGTGTTTACTGGCTTTATGCTTAATAAGATGCCCCACAATACCTTGCTGCCAGGATGTAATGCAGACTGTAATTGCCTAGTAAAAATAAATTACATAAAGTCGGCATTATCAACTTATCTAAATCCTCTCACGCCACAACCAATAATTAAATGCTGAGAACGTTTTTTCAAAAAATATAACTCAATGATTGTTACTTCACTCATTTTAATGACTGCATTTGGGGACAGACAGTAATTCCTTCAACGTGAAGGGTGAGATAGAGAGACACCAGCTGGGCAGGTCCCTGTGAGGCCACTGTGTTGGACTCAGGGCAGCAATGATGCTGCAGCCCAACCGCCCTGGGGTGGCCACCTTATGTATGCAGACAGGCCCACGCACCAGGAAATGCATGAGGGGTCCCAATGGAAACTGTCTTGAAGCAGAACCAGGCATTTGTAAATTCTTGCTCATATGCAAACAATAAGCATTTCCAGAGCACTTTTTATGTACCAGATTGAGTCCAAATCTATGGGGTGATTCCTGAAATAAATTGTACTTCACTGGGTTGGTCTTTGCAGCAAATGACAAATAAGTGAATTCCAGCAGAAAGTAGATTGCATCTGCCTACAAAGGTAGTATCCTTAATATATTCAAAGATCTTCTTTCTTGCCTCTTAAGACATCTGAGGGATGCAGTAATATACACAGCAAAATGACACATATGCAAATATCCATGTGTCATGCCCAATCCAGTCCCTTTCCAACAAAACAGTTTTGAGCATTATTATAAGAACAACATGCTTCCTTATTAAGGACCTCCAGTGGGTTATGTTTGTAAATCTGCATGTGAATTTATTAACTCTAAACTGTGGCCCAACCTGATTTTTTTTTTCATATGTCTGTGTCATCATGTCACTTCACCCTAATCTGCCTTTGAGTTGTAATCACAACCTTGGCAGTCAGTTCAGTGGGGCAGTGACCTCGGGTCTGCACAGAGAGCAGGGGATGGATGTAGACCTGAGGCTCCCCTGGCCTGAAGCCATCTTCAGTTCCCTAATGTCATCTGTTGCTGTGTTCAGAGAGAAGCAGCTCTGAGAAGTTGCGTTAGCAGATTCTTGTCTGTGTCTACTGTTTTTCTGTCATCAGCACGTGACAAGGCAGGACACACAGGAAGTGCTGCAGTTTTAATGAGGGGGACACTGAGGGCCAGAGAAGATGCTGAGACAGAGCTGGGTCTAGAACCTGTTCCATGTTCTTCATCTCACTTCTCGTTCACCGGACCCCATCACCAGCGAGCACGACCCCACCTCAACAGGTGATGCCACATAGTAAGCTGAGTCCACTGGCACTTCCAGAACCGGAGGGATGGCTCTGAGGCGCCTTTTGTGCATCCATCTGTCCATCCATCTGTCCATCCTTCCATCCATTTGTCAACCATGGGCTGAGCTAATGCCTTTAGCCTACTGGGCCTCAATAGTTCTGGAAGCGGGCAGTTGAGCCCGACACTAGGATGGCGTGTGGTCTCCTGCAGGTGAACTGTAGAACCGCTTCATAAGCAGGCCAGGAACACAAACCCTGGGCTAGTTCTCTTCCAGGTGGGTGGAAATAGGGAAGGGTATGTGGCCCCTTCTCTCAAAAGAAGTGCTGAGTTCCTGAGAACACACAAGCCCCACGCTTCTTTCCTTCCGCGCTGAGGTGGGCTGATTCCTTGTGTCCTCCATGTACCCTGGAGAAACTAGGACCAGTGAATGGAACGTGGTTGCTGCTCTTTGTGATGTTGTTCTGGCTGTGATGTACCCTGGAGAAACTAGGACCAGTGAATGGAACGTGGTTGCTGCTCTTTGTGATGTTGTCGTTCTGGCTGTTGACGAGGATCTTCGGATGGTGTTATCTTGAAAGATGCGATTCCCACTACAGAGCCCAGACATAGCAGGAGCTGAGCAAATGTCTGTGTGTGCTTGCTTGATGAGGAATTCGTGAACTGATGACAGTAAATCTAGGAGGTGTGCACTACATTTCAGAAATGGACTGACTGAAAACGGCTGCTCTTTTCAGAAGGCAGCCCTCAGAAATCTGCAAAATTCTCTCCTCGGTATAATCACAGGTTCCAGGAAGCAGAGCAAACAGAAGGTACCAGAGGGTTCAGGGAGACAGGGGAATTCTCACTTCTTGGTAACATTTTTCTTTTGATTGTGGGACGCAATTTATAGCGGCCTCAGTTCTGGGTCAGACTCTTTGATGGAGACAGCAGAGAGAAGGGGCTGCGTTGGAGAAGGTGATGACAGCAGCTCGTTAGGTGGCTGTGGTGGAAGTGAGCAGGTGACAGCTGTGATGGTGGGTTGGTGCCTGTGGTCATGTGGACTGGTTGGTGATGGTGATTACGCAGCAGTATCTGTGGTTAAGGTTACTCTGCAGTCACGGTGGCTACTGTGGTGCCATTCAAAGGGACAATGGTGGTCTGATTGCTGGGTGACTTTGGGCAAGTCACTGTAACTCTCTGCCTAGTTTCCTTCTCTCTCACTGCTGGGTGCCTCAGTAACATCTACCGCAGAGGGTTGCCGTGAGAAACAACGGAAAGTGTGGCGAGTGTTTACAGTGCAGCCTGCTGATGGTCAGCTCTCTTCCACAGCTGCTCTATAATGGTGGCTCCAGTGGTGCTGGTGGCAGTGGCTGTGAACACCAGGAGGAGGAACAGACTCCTACTTCAGTCTTATCTGCCACACCCCAAAGAGGGCGTCGCTCCAGACTAGTGGTTCTCTTACTTTGGTGCACACCAAGACTCACCTGGGGGCTTGTAGAACACGTGAATTCTAACAACTCCCAATCTTTCCCTCATGGGTTGTGTTGAGTCACAGAACCCAGATCTACATTGTCAATAAGGCCCTGGGCAATGCTGGTGCAGGTGATCCCCATCCCACTTTGAGGAGCTTGCCCTGGGAGGTTGAGTGGTTGAGCCAGGGCAGTCTGGGGCTTGATGGAACCGCTTCCCTGCACCAGGGTAAGCGGCCCCTCCCTTGCACCTGTCTGCAGCCTGCCTGTGCAGGCAAGTAGCCACCTGGGTCCAGGCCCTGGGCTGGGGAGCTTGGCATTGAATAGTCATGCAGACAGATGGGGAGCATCAAACCAAGCTCAGCAAGGTGTGTCTCACCCTCCTGAAGCTCAGGAGCCCTTGACGAATGCCACGTCACTGTTCACATGTCCAGGAGCATCCTAGGGCTTGCTGATCCCTGCAGGGACCAGGCCAGGACTCAGCAGGCCTTCTCCATTTTACTTCACGTTCCACCATCAGCTCGTAGTAGGCAAACTTGCTCCCACCCCCCAAACATGGCAGCAACATTCAGAGCCCCAGTGGCTTCTATAGGCCCTCCAGACCTGGGTGGAGCCATAGCCTAGGGCCAAGGAAGGGAGGGGGAGGGAAGGAGGGCAGGGCAAGGGCGCCTGCATCCCTAGCAGGCAGGTACCTGTCAGGCTTGGAGGCTGAGCTGCAGGTTCTTCTGCCACGGCATGCCCGGGAACAGACAACTTCACATCCTCCATCTTCCAAATCTGCCCAGAAAAGAGAAAATGTCATAGGCTGGCGAAATGATCCTGTCTGCAGGCTCGGCGTGGTCCATCTCATTCCCCTACAGGGCCTAAGCGAAGGGAAGAAGGCAGACCCCCCTTTCACTTCTGACATTAATTTATTATCAGGAAAAAGGTTTTTTAGGCTTCAGTTTCCCTGCATGGAGGTTTGACTGATTACAACTATAGCTTGGATGAGTTCACTGCCATCTCTGTGTCCCTAAATGCAACTGCCTATCTCCAGGGACCAGACTCCACAGCCAGGTTGTTATCATTTCACTTAGCTGATGTCCTCTTGGCCCTAATGCCACCATTTCTGCAGGCCTCCCTCACCACTCAGTGAGGATGGCCTCCCCATCCTCTGTGTCCAGCCCTTGGTCCCAAGCCCTGTTCCTGGGTGCCCTCAGGCTGACTGCATATGGCTTCTCACTTGCTGAGTCTGGACTTTCTGTTGCCAAAGGACAAGGACCAGCCCCTACTCAAATGCTTCTGTGAGCTCCTCCCCAGGACTAGCCCAGCAATGGGCTGCTACAGGAGCTCAATTACCATGGAAGACTCCCACGCATACTTTGGGCAGGCACAGGAAAGAAATCTACCTACCCCTCAGCCACCCCAGCCTCCTCTGGCTGACCTGCAGTTGTGGACCACGCCCCACCAAGCCCAGGTCATTGTGACCTCCTCACGTTCCAGCTGGCCCAGCATAACCTGCTCTCTGCAGAGACCCTGTACCCCTCATAGGCCACAGAAGGGGCCCTGTAAGGATCTCACAGGGGGCACTCCTCAGCTTTGTCTCTGGATGGATGGATGGAGGGATGAGTGGATGCGTGAATGGATGGATGAATGGATAGATATATGAATGGATGGATAGATGGATGGGTGAGTGGATGGGTGAATGGATGAGTGGATGGGTGGGCAAGTGAATGAGTGGATGAATGGGTGGGTGAGTGGATGAATGGATGGATGCATGGACAGATGGATGGATGGGTGAGTGGATAGGTAGATGGGTAAATGGGTGGATGGAAGAATGGAAGAATGGATGGATGCATGGATGGATGAATGGATGGATGGCTGGATGGATGAGTAGATGAGTGAATAGGTGAATGGATGGATGGAAGAATGGAAGAACAGATGGATGCATGGATGAATGGATGGATGGATGGAAGGGTGAGTGAATAAGTTGATGGGTGAGTGAATGAATGAGTGGGTGAGTGGGTGGATGGATAGATGTATAGATAAATGAGTGGATGGGTGAGTGGGTGGATGAGTGAATGGATGGAAGGATGGGTGGATACATGGATGGATGGATGAATGAGTGGATGGGGGAGTGGATACATGGGTGGGTGAGTAGATGAACGGGTGGATGGATGCATGGGTAGATGAATGAATGGATGTGTGGGTGAGTGGATGGGTGGATGGGTGAGTGGATAGATGGGCGGATGAATGGATGGATGGATGGATGGGTGAGTGGCTGGGTGGCTGGGTGGATGGATGGAGAGATATATAGTTAGGAAAGTGGGTAGATAGATTAGTGGATGAATGGATTTGTGGTCAATTTTGGGTTAAATAGATGACACAAATATCTCTTTTTAGCACTGGAATATAATCTTTTGCATGTGACTATTTAGTGCTCGCTCCTTGTGACAGTGTTTATTTGTATGTGTTTGTGTGTGTGTATAACATCATAGGTATAGTTTTATTTATTTGCTTTATTTATTTATTGCCCTGGAAAGAGCCTTGCCTTTCCCTTCACTTGCCGTGGATACCTGTTCTGGGACAGCCTCAAATGCAACCTGCAGCTCTGGACCCATGGAGAAAGTGGGCAGAATGGAAATGAACACATTTCTTGTGCCATATCCCAATTCTGACCAAGACACACCTACCCGGACCATGCCATCTTGACTCCCGGTGATGATGACATGGCTTCTGTCCCATGCTGGCCCCTCCATCATGCAGCAGCAGGTTATGGCTCTTTCTGGGCCCCAGGCTGTGGTAATACTGGCCAGAGGCTGTCCATTGACATTCCATAGGGACAAGTGGGCTCCCGCACAGGAGACGATGGTGCCCTGCAGCAGTGAGAACTGGTGTCACTCTAAGCTGGAGTGGCTGTCTGCCCATCTGTGGCTCAGCTACCCAGTTTGTACACCCAAAAACTCCCAACCTGACATCTTCTGAAGACCGACCAAGTACCCCAAGACTGCCTGAGACACCCACTCCTTTGCAGCTCACGGGCCTGCTATGCTTTCACACAACTGTCAACTCTGGGTTCTTTCCACACTGCGATCATGTGTTTGGATACTGCTTTCCCTGGCAGACGCTGACTGCTTAGCCTTAGGCTCCTCTCAGATTCCTCTCCATGGCCATATACTGGCTGCCACAGAAGACCCAGCCTGAAGACCAGCCCTACTTCTGGACATAGAGCCTACTACACCTGTCTGGCCAGTCCTCCCCATGAAGAAGTGCAGGATATCACCTGGTGGAGGGCAGGGCACAGAGGCTCAAATGACTGTGCGTGGCTCATAAATATGTATGATACCCATCCAGAAGGGATTTCTGGGAAGAACTTTCTCAACTGCATCTCTGGAAATGTTCATGTCCAGAATTTTTGCTCCTCAAGGCCTGCCTATTCTGTACCCAATGGAATAGTGGCCATTGTCACCGAGGCCCCAGCTGGAGACAGGCCTTTGAGCCTTGCCCTAACCACAGAGGGATGTGGAAAGCTCACTACCCCTTCACAGCCCCCTGGGCTGGGCTCCATGGGACTTCCTGAATTGTTAGGGATAGTCTGCCTGGGACCAGGGACTGTCTGTTACACCTCTGCCCAGCACCCAGAACTGGGCCCAGCAAGCACATATTGACTTTGATTGGCTCCAGGACAATTTATCTTGGTACCAAGCTTCTCAGGTATGGGAACACAATTCCTTAAGAGTTTTATGTTCCCCCAGACCAGGGCTTCAGGCCTTCACCAATATATACCAACCCACCCATCCATTCACCCACCATCCACCAATCCATCATTCATTTGTCCACCCACTCATCCATTCATTTATCCACTTATCTACCCACAAATCCATCCACCCACACACTCCCAGTTATTGACCCATCCATCCATTCATCTGCCATCCATCCAACCATTCACCTTTCTGTCTGCCCATCTAACCATTCATCTGTGTGTCAGTCTGTCCACCCATCCATCCACACATTCATTTGTCTTCCATCTACACATCTAACATTAGTCCTGGATTCAAGCCTACCTGAAGCACCACTTTCAAGCAAATGTGGCACCAGAGGCTCTTCCATCATCTCCCCCTCCTCTTATGAGCTTTCTGCCTACTTTGTCCATGTTCTGGGCCCCTGGGGCTTTTTATGAGCAGATGCAGACTCCTCTGCATCCTCAGGGAACCCCATACTCCAGGATGGGGCTTCCAGCCTGGAAGAAGCTCTACATTGAGATATATGTCTCTCTCTGTCTCTCTCTGTCTCTGTCTCTCTCTCTCTCCACACACGCGCGCGCGCATGCACACACACACACACACACACACACACACACACACACACATAGAGACATTCCTGACAGGCTCCTCTTTGTTAGCCAGCATAGAGGGACAATCAGAGGCACGTCGTGCTGTGGAGACCAGAGGCACCTGCTAAGTCAACAGTGACTTGCAACTAAGAAGCTAAGTTAGTCAGCCATGCCCAGCAGGTCTCTCAGGACAGGCAGATCTTCTGCCCAGCTCCCTGGTGTGCATGGCAGAACAGACACTTCCCACTGCTCCCACCGCCCTGAGGGAGGAAAGTAAAGAAGCAACAATTAAAGGTAGACCCAGATGCTGCACATGCTGGTCTGTAGCAAGTACTCTGCACATTTGGGGCCCATTCCACACTCTGGGGCAGTCAGCATCTCTCTGTCCCTGGGTTTCCTCTTGGGTGCCATCCACCATGCTAACATGCAGGTTCACGAAGGTGGGGAGGACACAGCGTTGGAAAAACAGGAGCCTCACCGAGATGTCACTGATGTCAATGGCTGAGATGGCCTCCCGGTGGGCAGGCAGACGGGCCACAGGGGCGAGGTGGTCCAGGTCCCACAGGATGCAGGTGCAGTCCTGGGAGCCACTCACCAGGAGGCTGAAGCTGACCGATGCTGCCAGGCATGTGACTGCCTGTGTGTGTCCATACAAGGCCTAGAGACAGGAAACAGACCCACAGGTTAGGAGAGGGGTCCTATTGGGAAAATAGAATAGTTTGGTTAGTTTGGACCCTCCCCTAGGGTCCAGTTGGGTGTGGTTCAGCATTCTTTGTAAGCAAATTGTGTGTGTGTGTGTGTGTGTGTGTGTGTGTGTGTGTGTGTGGAGTTAGTGAGCATGTGCACCAATGTATCTTTTTAGTTTTCTTGCTATTTTTGTGTTCTTCAGAGAGAGGTAGAAAGAGAGAGAGAGAGAAAGAGAGAGAGAGAGAGAGAGAGAGAGAGAGAGAGAGAGAGAGAGAGAGAGAGAGAGA